TTAAATCTATAAATTACTACTGGAATTGTTGGTATTCTACGTCTTCCAAATCATCTAAATCAAATCTAAAAAAAAGGAAAAGAGAGAGAAAAGATAGTAAGGGACCCATAATGGCATTGTTGAGGGGGCTACTGTCCATAGAAAAGAATATATCCAGGGGGTGTTTCATAAAGCTGTTCGTAAAGTTACGCATGACTTTACGAACGACTTGTATATGAAAAGCCAAATGGGATGCTCAATCATTATTGATTATTATTTATTAAGTTGAACTGTGCAGATGTAGATTAACATTCTTGTTATAACATCCATTTTTAAATCAAAGTATATTTTTTGCCATAATTTAATTGAGGTTATTAAAAATATCAGAAATAACTTTGGGCATCCTATCTGGCACTTCATATACAAGTCGTTCAGTGTAATTTATATGAATACGATGCAAGGGTTAAATCTTGGTACTCTTCGTCTTCCAAATCATCTAAATCAAATCTAAAAAACGAAAAGAGAAAGAAAAGATAGGAAGTGACCCATCATGGCATTGTTGAGGGGGCCACTTTCCATGAGAAGAAGATATCCAGGGTTGATAGACCGGAGTTGTAGTTCGGGGTTGAGACGGATAAAATCACTTCACATCTAACGTAGATTGTGTCAAGACTGGCAATATCGACTGTGTTTATGATCATAGGCCAAAATCTTAGTGTGAGCAAGGAATCTGTGCAGAACTATCGTCCAGTCACAAGCAGTGGCGTGATGACGACCATGAGGGAGTACTTGAATTGGGAAGGGGGAAAGGGGGGCTAGTCTTTCTCTGAAAACAAATTGCGAATTCGCAAGACAAAATCAGATTGGAGCTTATGCTTTATGCCAATTGCATGAAAGGCATTTACGTTAATCAACATCTACTGAGCCAATATACTCGTAGAGCTTCGTATACACCTTTAGTGCACTTTGGTGAGGGGTGCCCCCTTACTGAGGTGCACTCCCGTACCCCTTCTCCCCTCTGCATTTTGGTGAAAAACTATTCAGAATCGAATGAGGTCTGTGCTATCTGTCCATTGATTTAAAGCTACTACGTTATGCGACATTCATCGGTACATTTATCACAATATCAACACACATGTGTTGCACTCTGGTGACGCATTCCCCCCAATTCAACCCCGACCCTGACGCTCCTCCCCATTTCCTCCCCACTACTCCTCCCTACTACTCCACCCTTCCCCCATCCTCAGTCAAAAAGTCTAGACGTACCATCTATGGCAATGGAGTACGATGGGGATTATGTTATTGCAAGTGTCAACGTATTTCCAGTTGATCCTGGACTACGGGTAGGTTTATAGATGACGTTTCCACTTCATCGAGCAATTACACTTGCAATGACATTTCAGTGGGCCCAACCAGGGATATACGAGTGAGTGAGTACTCACCCAATGTATCACATGTATCCGGAATCCATACTTTAGGCTAATCGTCGGAGTACTACATCACACAGTTGCAGGGTGTGGTAAAAGAATGGCAGTGGGAACGGATCATTTAGTGAGTTCGGTAGCGGGGAGGACGTGGCATTCTGCATGTCCCAATGAATTATGCATAGGACATGGAATGGCAGGTAAGATTATCATGAACCGTATGCATTCTTCATGATCCTCTTTTCCAAGATTGTCTCCCGGCACCTCCACTCTAATACGCCTTGTTCCCGCCTTACTAAGATGAATGTTTTCAGGCTCACTAATGCCGTCTGAGGTATTTATCAGTCTACTCTAGAGGCATTCCATTCACTTCTATCGCTTATAGCCGGGACATGTATTGCGCACCCATCTATGTTTATTAATAAATCAAATTACGAACAGAAAGAAAGAGTAAAAGAAACATGAACCAGGATAAAAGGGATAGAGAGAGAGAGAGAGAGAGAGAGAGAGAGAGAGAGAGGGTGTGTGTGTGTATGAGCGGGATGTAAAAAACTCTACTTGCTTCATGGTCAGTTATAGATGGGCAGGAAGGGGGGGGGGGGTTAAGGACTCTGCCCACTCCACAAAAAAAGGGGGGGCCACATACGTTAATCCGTGTAGCTTGGGTGTCGATTACTACCGAGTCTGCGGCCGACAATTTAATCTGTAGAACGATTGAAATCAAATACCAGTTGGGTATTGATCATCATTCTCTCTGTGAATTCATAAGAGGAGGGAAAACCCCAGTCCGTGATGAAGTGGGTTAAATTTCAGAGTTCGATTCTATCACGAGAGTCATTCATTTAAAGGCACACTGCCCTACTTGTAGCTACTTGCTCCCTCTATATAGAAACTTCCCCAATCGGTGCCTGTTGGTCCCCCATGATCCTCTTTTTCTTATGTTAAATGAGAGCTGAGTTAATGAGATAGCCACCTGTCACAGTGACCTCGCTGACTCGCTGGGTGGTCTAATCCCTTCTAGCTGAAGTAGTAAAGCCTGCCTTTAATGCGAAACATGGATAACAGGAAAATACAATATCTAAAAGCCTTAATTCTTGCTCTGGAGATGACAATTCATAATTGAGAGTATACATGAACTAGTCTTCTCGTTTTTATGTCAAAAACACAAGTCCACTTGTCGAGTTCCATCTAGTCGTCATCTCACCTTATCGTCTTGAATAAGCCTACTTGCCGAGTAACAACAACTCGTCTTCTTGTCGGCACAACTTGAAGACTTGAAGACACCGCTCTCATAATCTCTATGACTCCGCATCCTTTTTCGTTTACATGGTAATAGATACAGTCATCAACCTCCATGAATTCTAAATCAATCTCTTTATTATTTGTTATCATTATGACTGTGTTTCCGTTTGTGTCTCTACCAAAGGATAACAACAACTTAGAACTAGTATCTTCTTTGTTTTCATTCGTAATCATCTTCGATTGATTACTCCAAAGCTAAGAGCCGATCCCTATCAGCGGGAGACATCATCAATTTCTCTCAGAATGAAAATATGGTGTTTTTCCCAGCGGTTATGCTTCACTGGGGTTTCTCCCTTCATGACCAATTTTTCATTAGACGATAGTACCCCGACCGCCCAAAACAAGGTCATTATTGTCATAAACATGTATGAAAATCCAATCGTGTGTCGGGGAATTGAAATTACTCAAGCTCCTGGCATTATTCAATGCCAGTATACTTTGAAATTAAGCCCAATATTGTGAATTAATATCAATATTGTGGCATAATGCATCATCAGATGTCATTGCCTTTCTAACAACTATGTATGATTTATGGTGGATATGATTAAAGAACATACAATGGAATCATGGGTAAACAAAATTGTATTGTAAAAATACAATGTAAAATATATAAAATGAAACAGGTAAGAGGGATCCAGACACATTGAGAGATTTTTTTCTGCCTCTTTATATGGTAGTAAAATTCACGCTGTATCTGAATGCTCTGATAATTTTGACCAGTACTTCTCTCTCCCTCCCTCCATGCGCCCTCCCTCAGAGCATTCCCTTGCCTTCTTTTTCTCTCTCTCCCTCTCTGTCTCCGCTCTCTTTCTCTCTCCCTTCCTCTGTTTTATTTATCTCCCCTCTGTCCCTCTCTGTTTATCATTCTCATCTCTCTCTCTTCCTCTCTCTGCTCCTCCTCTCAACTCTGTCTGACTGTATGCCTCTCTTTCTATCTCACTCCCCCTCTCTCTCTCTCTGTCTCCGCTCTCTTTCTCTCTCCCTTCCTCTGTTTTATTTTTCTCCCCTCTCTCCCTCTCTGTTTATCATTCTCATCTCTCTCTCTTCCTCTCTCTGCTCCTCCTCTCAACTATGTCTGTCTGTATGCCTCTCTTTGTATCTCACTCCCTCTCTCTCTCTCTGTTCTCCACTCTCTCTCTCTCCATACACACACATATACACACACGCATACATATTATATATCTTTTCCACAATAATCATAACAATGTGAAAACTATGAAGAGCAGAACGAATTATTGAATTGAATCAGTATAGATAAACTCTATTACGTGTTGCTTCAAGTTTGACAGGACCTTTTTTTCCTCCCCTAGAATAATATTTGCGTCTCAATCGGGCCCTGGGGGACGGGGAACCAGCCGTGCAGAAAATTTCCCCGACCCGCTGGAGGAGTAGAGGCGGTCTTACGGTTAATAGCAATGTGGTTTGGGAGGAATTTGTAATGACAGCATGTTATTACCTTCGAAAGATGATTTTATCGTCTATCTTTCGGCATGACATTTACGGTAGATGTGGCAATATACGAAGAGACGTTTGGTAAGCAATGGATGTTATTACATCATCTGAGCGTATATGTACATGCACGATGGTTAAAATTTCCAGGTCCACTGAAATGAATTTTCTCTTTCAATTTAAGATTTATTTTATATTCCATACAGCTTATCGTCTGTTAACATTGGTATGTAAACTCATTGACAGGATATAGCATAATCATAACAGTACGGGAATATTGTTTCCTTTGATATGCATCGATTTTGTTTTCCTTGTATTTTCCCACGAAACAGGATGAAAAGACACGATATCATTTTACTAAAAAATGATTTTATATATACAATGAAAATATTAAGGTTTTACCTTTGAATATTCATGCTTATTGTTACAACAAGAGTTTTTTTTCCATTATTTTCTTTTAAAGTGCACCATTATTCAATTTGTAGCATTGGTCCAGAACTCACGATGGGAAATTCATTACTTCGTTAATAAAAGTCGTATTTACCTAAATTTGATATTGGTTAAAATCGTAGAAAAGGGAACAAATGCTATAATGTATATTGACCAGCGAAAAAAACAATTTCATGTGAGATAATTTTAAAAATAAATGACTAGCCGCAAAATGTAAGATTACAAATAAACCTGTTAAGACTGAAATGCAGATGACAGTTTCAAACACGTTCTTTTTTTGCGCGGGAAACTTAACGAGCAGCCCAAAACGACGCCAAATTTGAAATGCTGCGCCACACAACAACAATTCTGGAGCGACATCATAATATAAACAACTTGCACGAGCCTGAAACTTACCCAATCCTCTCATGACATGAGAAACAATAGATCCTGCGCGCGATTTGACTGTTGGTAATGCTTTTAAATCCATATGGCTGGATAATTCCTTCCCCTAAACTTCCTTCAAGGAGAGAGCACATTGTAAATAACAGGTAGTCTTAATAACAACGTAGCGAACGTGCGATGCATGATTGAGAGGGAGATTGCGAGTAGTTGATGATTGTGAAAGTAAAACGAACGCACACTACGACGCTCCGCGGCGGTACATGTGCAGTATACGTGACTGGATAGGGTGCCTACCGTTGCACGCATATGACAGTGTTTTTGGCATATAAATAGACATTGTGCATATAGGCGGCGCTCCATGATGAACTTCGCAATCAGGTGTCTGGTCGCATACCAGGCAAAAAAGTGCATCGATTAAAGTTTACATCTAGACAAGTTACCTTCAGTAAAGGAACAAGAAAAAAAAATATTTTGGCCTACCATAAGTATTTTGTTGCTTTTTAGGGCCTCTGTCATGTTACTCTCTTTTACCCCCTTTCTCTGTTTCTATCTGTTCCTATTTTCATTCTACCCTTTTTGGCATTTATATTTTTACTCTCTCTTCTCTCTCTCTCTCTCTCTCTCTTTCTTTCTCTCTCTCTTCTTACCACCTTGCCTGCATGACTATTATCATTACAAGTCATAAGTCATATTCCATCCCCGTGTTAATTGTAATTCTTTTCGGTGTAGCTGCCTTTCCCCTATACCTTTTCGATGCCTATTTTTTTTCAATTTCAAGTTCATCTCTTCACCCCTCTCTCTCCCTCTCCCACTCCCACTCTCTCTCCACCTCTCCGTATATCTACATGTCACTGCTACATGTATGTATCTCTCTCCAGCTTTCTGGTGCAAACTATCCCACCATCTTCCGCACCATTGTCAACGGTTCGGGCGAAATCAATAACCATCGACATGTACGCCAAGGGATACCGAAATATTACCGGGAAATTGAATTTAGCTACAGTAGACAAATACACAGGTTAGAATTGAGTAGGAGGGAACGAGCATCCGGTCCACACGCGCACTTGATCCCCTTTTATACCTCTCTCTTCTCTTCTCATCTCTTTCGTCATATCCTTCTATCTCTTCCTCCTTCAAACACACACACACAACTACACACCTCTAGTGCTCTGTTGCTCTCTCTCTCTCTCTCTTTCCCCCTTCTCTCTCTCTCTCTCTCTCTCTCTCTCACCATTTAAAACACACACGAACAACCTTTCTGTATCTCTCTCTCTCTCTCTCGTTCTTTTCCTTCCCCTCCCTCTCCTTTCTCACTTATCCCTCGATCGTTATGAATGCCATATCATTTAGAAGAGAGTATTCCACCTTCCTACTCCCAAGCTCTCTTCTCATCTGCATCTCTCCAATATATAGTTGTCTCCTTCTTCGTTTTGCCATTTCCCATCCATTTCCTGTCTCCTGCCTTGCTTGGCTGCCTTTTACTTTCACTTCCTCTTATTTCACTTTACATCGAACCCTTCCTTTTCCTACTCTCTTAATTCACTATACATCCTTCCGTCTCTCTCTCTCTCTCTCTCTCAGTCTGTCTCTCGTACACTGTAAAAAAGAATTTGTTCATTGGTAATTTTTACGTATTTTTTCCATGTAGAATTTACTTGAAAACATTAGTTTTGCCACTTACGCACTAAATTTAAGTCTTGCTAACTCAAACTTTCAATTTAGTAGAACATACGTGGAATATTTAAGTAAAATCAAATCGTCGGCCAGGTGGCAGAAGGGCGTAAGCGCGCGAGCGACTCGAAAACTACTTTTCAAATTATTCGCATTTAAAGATTTGTTTTATATTTAAACTGCTTTCCGTCCCGAAAATTGGTTTAAAACATAAAGACTAATAGAAATGTTGTAGTAGAACACAGCCACAATTTTTTTTCTCGGAAATAAATCAGTTTTATAAAAGTTTGAGGCGATTTAGTGCTATAACGCCCTTTTGCTTAATGTTTCATTATTGACCTGAAATTTGAGGTAACGCCCTTCTGCCAGCCAGGCGACGAAATACATAAGAACTTTAAGTAATTTCAGCTTGTATTAATTTAGTAATTTTAACTCAAAATCAGAAATTATACGTATTACTCAAACAATTTATGTTGATTATTCTTATCTTTTTAAAGTAAGGACCGATGCAGTGCGTAATAGAAATATTTACATAATTTATGAATATTCATTAAGACCAAATTAAACTCTTTTTTAAATAAAACAATTCTTTTTGGGGGTTGAATGAAAATTTAAGGACTTTAAAACATTTCATTTCATTAACACAATTCATTTAACATGGCTAAGCAAAGACAAGACAATTTTTAATTGTTACCCAGTTCAAAACAAATCAAAACTTGATATTTCAAGAAATTGTCAACCAATTTTCCTTTTAAGATGCTACGATCAAATATATATAAAATTTGGAGCCTTTCAATATGTGTTGAATTGAAGCGTATGTAATAGTTTGTGATGGTGGTAGATACGGTTAATTCTTAAATAGAAGTAGTGAATGATTAGTGGATGTTACTTGTTAGATTAGATGGGTACCAAATCGTGCAATATGTAATCCTATCATAGCTTTTGTTTAATTATCTAAAATGATTACAATACTTAAATTATTTACGTTAATGTAACTCGATTTAACTGAGTAAAAATTTATTCAGCAAAATAAGTAAATTCTACCTAAGATGCCGTAGGTAATATTTACTTAATAAAAATAAGGCAATTCTTTTCCTCAATTTTATTGAATTATTTCGACTATTATTTTTTTACAGTGTACACACTCTTTGACATCAACCCTCTCTCACTCACCCCCTTGCCTTTCTCTTGCCTTTCTCTTGTAACTAAGAATGGTCGCATGCACTATGAGCCCTGCATATTGACTGATGCTGCTATAGGAATATTGTCAAGCCAAATAAACCTGTTCATCTGATGTAAGATTATATATCTCATAAACGGTTCCCATTTCCACTCATCTTGTGAACCCTCTTATGACGAAAACAAGGTTTGATTGTGTAAGTTTGACCACCTTCTTGTCTGCGAGTGTCAGGAATATTTATTTCGTTTATGTAAGAAAGTTTAGGTAATTGATGGAATCTGCAGGTAAGATGACCCCACTGTAAATTATGTGATGGCAGGTAAACGACCTGAACCCTTTTTTGTTTCAAACATGCTAAATGCGTTCTCCACCAAAGTTAACAAAAGTCAATGAAAACAATCAATTTGGTCAATGTTTTAAATGACAAATGCACACTAGGACTGTTGATCCGTCAGCAAAAGTTCAAATGTCAATTGTTTACTTATGGACTCAATTAACATTGACAATAAAAAGGAATTTAATATTTTCCATTTGATTTGTTAACTCAGATGTTTTCGTCCATGTTTAACCGTAATGGCACATTTTTATACATTTATATTTTAAAGTATTGTATCACTGGGATGAACAAGTCTCTTAGGAATATAACACTATGTCCCCGTGCCTCTATTTTCATTTGAGTAATGTTTCACTTATCTTTTATTTGTTTCAATTCAGAGGGTTCTTGCACTTATTATTTTGCCCGCATTCCCGTAGCTGCGTCATCGGTTTAGCTTTTCTCGATTCGCTTGAGCTCAACATCTGAATGAAAACGACATTGTATTGCAATCAAGGAGAGAGAGAGTGTAGTAGTTCCGGTGAAGGTAAAGACAAGAAAGATCCCTGTCCAGCGTACTGGAATATAATGCTTCGGATTTACACTTAAACACAATGCAATAGAACGAGGTTAATACGATATAAAAGCTTTCAGAACCTGATGTTACCAAATGTACCACGATTGTAAGAATTGAATTGTCGATACTAAAACAGCTGTTAATATGGTTAAGGGGGGGCGATGGGTAGGTAAGTTCGAAGGAGTGAAAATGGATGATAATTTTAGAAAAAGAGATGGCAAGAGAGGGAGGGAGAGGAGGGAGTGGGGGGATGGAGGAAAGAACAGAGATAGAGAGAGAGAGAGGGTGGATATATATATATATATATATAGAGAGAGAGAGAGAGAGAGAGAGAGAGAAACAGAGAAAGAGAGGGGCAGAAACAGAGAATCGTACCAATGTTTAAAAGCAAGGAGGCTGTAGAAACGAAAATGCAGGGAGGCACAAGGCAATAATGAAGAAAAAAGTTTTTTTTAAAAAGAAAAAAGGAAGAGACTGAGTTGGGAATGTGTGAGGGTCTGTGAAAGGGAGAGAGAGATGGAGAGAAAGAGAGAGAGAGAGAGAGAGAGAGAGAGAGAGAGAGAGAGAGAAAAAGAGATAAAGACCGATCGAAAAATTCTAGGGGAGGATGAAGGTAAATAGCCCGAGTATCCAACATTTCAACCACTCTATTTAGCCGCCGAATCGTTGGACGTTCGTCGGGGGGAGTGCATTCATGCATGTTTTGGTGCTCAATTTACCGTTGAAAATAGAGTGTGCTGGCGAGCATAAGTCTGCGAATTTCGATGACTGTTCAGCATTATGCAATTTATTCAATTGATATTTCATTGATTGAGCTCCACCTTTCTATCTCTTCGATCTCCTCCTCCTCGTGCTCGAAAATGACCTTTCGCCATTGTTCAATGAAAAGAGGGGGGGGGTGGTTGTGGTGTAGAGATGGGGTTAAAACACTATACTTGTTTTGACTGTGGTCGTACACTCGATACTCAAAACGTATTAGTTCGCTACTTTATGCGTTCCCCTTTTCTGCATTTTATTTGCTTAATCTAGGATACACAGCACATGACAAAAAATAGCCGCGATGTATTTGTGCAGTCCTTAAATAGAACTACAGTTCTGTGGGGTGCACAAAATATATGCATTTCATCAGCAGTATACACTGCGCATGCTGTTTGTGGGGTGTGTATGGGTAGGTGCGTGTGTGGGTGTGGGTAATCATGGAGGGAGTGGGTGTGGTTGTATGTGGGTGTGCATGGGGTAAGTGGGTGTTGGAGGGTGAGGGGGTATGGGTTTTGGGTGTTATGGTGGGCATGGGGGCATGGGGGCATGTACTGCGTATGGAGTGAGTGGGTGGTGGGGAGTACATTGGGTGAGTGGTGTGGGTGCGTGGGAGTCCATGGATTGAGTCTGTGCGGGTGTGTTGGAGTAAACGGGTTGAGTGGAAGTGCGTGTATGAGGGGGTACATGGGTTGAGTGGGTGTGGGTAGGAGTACATTGGGTGAGTGGTGTGGGTGTGTGGGAGTGAATGAGTTAAGTGGGTGTGGGTGTGTGAGGGTGTACATTCGGCGATCAAGGAGTTACGTGGTGTTATGTGAATGTATGACTTTCGGCAAGGTGGGATAATCAAAGTCATTATTTACTTTTGTCTACTCTTATGTTGTTTTTATTTCAGATGAGAATCGATCATAAACTTGAAATCAGCCCTCAAAGTGTATATGACACACCATATCGAATTCCATGACCGGCTTTTTTTTATTACAAAGGTAGACAACATAAATCTCCATAATGCGATAATGCGAGGTCGTATCCATTGTACACATATTACTTTTATTGGCTTATTATACAGAAAATCAAAAAATGTTAAACAAAATGTTTG